CCCCAAAACCCCAAAACCCCAAAACCCCAGCATGCTTATTTAGAAAATTATTAAAAGAGAATATAATATATTAATAAAATGGATCATATTCGCTAAGATTTAGATGAGTTGATGGGGAAAGATAGAAACCATCCTCTTCATATTAGACTTTAGAAAAGAGATCATTTCGATGATGAATATGTATTAAAATAATATAGGCCTCATTAGATAATTAAATTCTTACTTTTAGGTTTGCAAATATAATTTGCTATCTTTTTGTCCTCATGATTTGTTCCCTAATACTAAGGCAGATATCGGCCCGTAGGTTTTAAAAAGCAAATAATCTTTATTTCATTTAATTCTATAGATGCTAGAAGAGGCATGACGATTTCTTAAAGGAAATGTTTAAGAACGATTCAGATAGAGAACTTTATCAAAGAAAATATGAAAAGGAGCTTCAAAGTCTATTAGAGTAAATGATCGCATAAGTAGATCAAAAAATGAAAAGAAGTTTGGCAAGAGTTGAGAACCCCATTTCTGATCCAATAAACACTCATGAAATGAATGCACACAATCAGGAAACAGTGCATAATAAGATAGATTAACTAGAATAGAAGATAAATTTCTATATTGAGAGAGCAGAAAAATTAGGAGAAGAGGGTAAGATTGATGAGTCAGAGGCAATTATGAAGGAAGTCGACAAACTCAAAGTACAAAAAAGTGAGTTAGAACAACTAAGTGATAATACGCTTCTTCCAAAAGATAAGAATATGAAAGTTTGCGATGTTTGTGGTGCTCTTTAAGCAACAACTGATACTGACAAAAGACTCTAGATGCATTTAGAGGGTAAATTGCATACAGGATATTTGAAAATTAGAAAAATCTTGGCTGAACTTAAGCAAAAGAGAGAAGAATATAGAAGAATCAGTGAAAGATAAGGTAGAAAAAGATCTAGATCAAGATCACCCTCACCATCTAAGGTTACATTACCTAAAAGAAGCAATTTACCGAATTAGCATAATCAGTAAGAAGAAAAAGTTGCAGATGCTTTTTATTTCAGCTCAAGGAAGTATGGAGCAGGATTAAACGTTCCAGATTCAGATATCAGATTTACTGAGATTGCAATGGAGAACAATAACAATATGGGCTATAATGTAACTCTAGCAAAAACTGAAACTCTTGGTAAAGAGTGGGGATACTACAAAAGGAATATTGATAAGAAAAGAAAAGAGCAGCAAGATCTTTTAAAGAAAAAAGAAGATGATCAAAATAGAGGATCATACAGAAGAAATGATGAGAGAGGAGGCGATAGAGGCTTTGGAGGCGGTGAAAGAAGAGGTTATGAAGGTGGTGGAGGCTACAGAGGTGGTAATAGCTTCAATTCTGGTGGTGGTGGCTTCCAAAGAAGAGATAATAATTATGGCGACAGAAGAGATGGAGGATCATAGGGAGGCTACAGAGGAGGAAACGATAACAGAGATAATAGGAGAAGATGATCAAAGATTTTTCTTAAGTTAATTAATTAATCTTGCTAATTCAGTTTTAAACTAAGAAGTCATCAAAATTTAATTGATGGGGTTTTGGGGTTTTGGGGTTTTGGGGTTTTGGGG